TATATATATATACATGTTTTGACAGACTTCCTTAGTAATGTAAAACCTGAAAAGTTATTACAGCTGTCTATGGGAAGAAAGCAAACCTCGGATCCTGAGTAATAAAAGTTTTGACCACCATCATTACTTCAAAAGCAGATTTTTTACAATTTCTCACCTGATCTAGAACCCCTCGTTGTTTAGCTATATGAGCAAATACAGCTTCTGCAATTGGTGAACGACATATATTTCCTGAAATCAGAAACAAAAATATTTGTATAGTAACAATCAAGTTTTAAAAATGATACCAAGTTTGATTTCCACAACATTATTTATCATATATAAATGTAATGCACATATTTCATGCAGAAAATAAATACAAATTTCTATTCAGTGTAGCTATGACAAAAACAAGGTTCAATCTTTTACTGTACAGTTTGCTGCTTATTACAAATGTTCAATATATACACATCAACTCTGTGATCTATATATCAACACTTGTATAAGTATGTGGTATATAAACATACCATGCATTTCTACCCTCTTATTTTAATACAGTATTATTCTAAATTTATCAGTTATTCTGTATATCTGTAGTTTTCACATAACACAAAACCAAGAAAGTACTTAGGTTGTTTTCAGTCTAGCTGCCTTTCTTCCTTTGTCATTCTCTGGAAATAATAATTGCTTTGTCCTTGGGAGGCATAGCTGTAATGCTACATGTTGTACAAAAATGTAGACAGCAAAAGTCAATCAATGGAAGATCAGGTGGTATCTTGAGGTTATAACCTCCCTTATGTTTGAATGAGAATGACCAGCCACATGGTTAGCACTAGTCACTTTTAGCAAATAATGAAATTACCAATGATGCAAAGAAAACTGAATTTAGATAGTCTGTAAAATTATCTCAGCCTGATCAGTTTGAGAGAGAGAGAGAGTTATCTGATCCAATACAAGTGACAGCCCAATGTTTATAATAAATATAGTTTTTGACAAATTTTCTTAGTAATGTAAAAACCCTTAAAAGTTATCGCAGATGTTTACAGGGAGAAAGCAAACATTAGATCATGAGTAATATAATTTTTGGCCATCATTACTTGAAAAGTAGATTTCTTTTTTTACAATATCTTACCTGATCCTAGAATCCTTCATTGTCCCAATATATGAGCAAATACAGCTTCTGCAACTGGTGAACAACAATTTTATTCTTTCAATAAATAGAACTACCTCAAATTAAGTGTGACTAAATCATTATTAATTGTATAATGAAAACCTGTCTTTACTATTCATTGTGTTTGTGTTTTACATGTGATATAATAACATTATGTCCAGTCTCTATATTTCATCGAGTTACTCAGAGGTTTGTAACAAGATCTTGCTCAACCTCCTGTTATTAAACAGACCTATCCTACTGCTCTAAGTTCGACTGTTTTTACTTGAATACACTACAGAACGGAGAAGGAAAAACTTTTGGCGCCATGACCACAAGATATCTTACTGCAGAGTCTGCTGTTTTCTGCTCATATGTGTGTTGCTCTTTAGTCCTACTCTTGTATCATATTAAGTTTATAAAGACTTCACAGTTACTGAAATATCATTTTCTACAATTAGAACAACTTATGACCAACACAAAAAGTCAGTCACTGAAGGGAGACCATACATTTAAATTTGAGGTGTCTCAATATCACAGTGATAGTGAAAAATAATTAGCATTACTGACAAATAAAATTCTTGTTTCAAACAAAATTACTAAAAATTCAGCAGTACGAAATACTAAAATTATGATTTGTAGATAGTTGAATTTAATCCTAGAAGTATTACATTATAATAGTAAAATTATCATTGCATAGTATCAAAATATCTATTCAACAGCAGCACTGTACAATAGCAGCCTCTAAGGTTCCTACCTAGTGAAGTGCATTCCAATCACACTTGTCTACTTCTGGTAAGTTATGAGGAATCACACAGATAGGAAAGTTTGATCCAAAATTATTTATGTTGTAAAATTGCTGAAAGAGTAGTTATGATGAAAGAATTAGCATAAAGAATCACAAAAAAATGGAAATAGATTTCAAAACACTCAAAACTTAAACACTTTCAAATACTTCAGGAGTAAAAATAGTAAAAGCTTAAAAAGTCTGATGACAAGCCATACAACAGAAGATCCAACTAGTAAATAGAGCCATTACTAACACTTCGAGAGCTCCAGAAAGAGCAACTAAGGGAACTAGATATAGAATGAGTGCTTCTTAACATGCAGCATGCTAAAGCAAAACCAGCTCAGACTGAGGAATGTATCACAGATGCACATGACATACATGGCTGTTATAAGTGCAGGAAAGTATGTTGTACAATTCTTAGCAACCAATGAGCTGTGGTTCTAAGCCTGTGTTACAACTAATGATCCCCAATACTTTGAGGCACAAGAGTCTTTAGACTTTGTACAACACATAGACTATACAGCACTAAGATGTCACTCACACTTGATTCGATGCCAGTTCTATTGGTTGCATCCCAGTCAAAGTTCTAAGCACTGGAGGCAATGCTGTAAGATGTGCCAGAGTAAACTCCAGCATTGTTGGTTCTCCCTTACAAAGAACAGTCCTAGATATCACTGGTCCACTCTTGGAGACAGAGTAAAGTCACTGATATATATACTTATGGTTGTCTTCAAGAAGTGGGTCAAGGCTTATCCATTAGTCAATACTTTGGCAAAGTCAGTATCTGATGCATTAGGGGGCACTGAATAGTTTGATTCAATGCACCTACAGAGATCTACACGGATCAGAGAGTTACCATTAACAGTTAAATGTTAACCCGAGTTATGTAGTGTTGGACGTGATTATGTACATCTTACCTTATAACTCCCAAACTGATGGTTTTGTAAAGTAGGTAACAGAATGTCAAACATGTACTTTCTAAGCTTATTAATACTGGCCAAACAGACTTCGACAAACACTTACCACATCTCATAATGCAACTGAGAAGAGATCAACAGGCAGTGTGTCAAACATGCTCATCTTGGGTAAGATGTGATCTATGGTTCCCCCAAAATAGACCTCCAACAATGTCCACAAGAATATGTGGAATGGTTAAGGTCTGAATGAAATGATGAGCACAAGTTTGCACAGCAACAACTAGGAAAGACCCCACCCCCATAAGACATAAAAAGTGCTGTGACAAAACAGTGAAGAAATGAATATACCAATATGGAGATGGGAAATGACTTTGGTATGTGACAGTAGCACAGAAATTACTCAACTCCAGCTCAACAGGACCTCATCTTGTACTCCAGCAAGTCAGTCTATTGACGTACAAGATACAGTAGTCACAAAAAACTCACAAAATGCATTGTACACACTGACCATCTGCATTCACATATTACCAACAAACCTCCTGTGAACTGGCTTGTCCCTTACTTTCCGAGCTAACAAGCAGAGTTTGACTACAAGATTTTCAAAAATATTGAATGATAGATCCCAATTAAAACAGTTACGTCAACTGATGATAGAAGGTGTAATACCTAGACCATCAACAGTTTGCACAACTGCATGATGACTCGAAGGTTGGAAAATCAGCTGAAGAAGTTTTGCAGTCCTTGCTTTCCGAGCTACAGAGTACTTTTCTATGACAAAAAATCATCTGATGTCTCAAAAGAATCACTCACAGGATCCAGAGGAGTGATAAGAGCTCAGGGAGTATACCATACTCTCATAACTAGATCTCCCCCATGCACCTGAAGGATGTATAACTTCTTGTGCAATAAGGGAGTTGTGTTTCATCTGAGCACATACTGACGTAATTTAACAACAGCACAAATATCAACCCTGATTTACAAGACTTTCAGCTCAAAAGTTTTAGTTTAGCAAAATTCTGTCTATGATTAATTATTCTGTGATGCTTTAAATGAAAAATGAGTTGAGTTTGATAGCTCCTAGATTGCAGCATATTACAACACTGTGGCTATCAAAACTTGGACTGCATTATGTGACCCAAGAAGATTACAAAATAACATGCACAGGAGACAGAGGTAGACTGTTTTAAGCTATTAAGGTAAGTTACTACATGTAATGAAAATAAACATAAATGGTAATAAACATGTATAAATAAATGTATGTGTGATCTTACACACACACACACACACATACATATGAACATTACATGAAGCCCTTCATAATACAGATGGATCAATTACACAAAGAACACAACTACTGAGAAACATATTAATGGAAACAATGTATTCAATCAGGACGTTAATATATTTTGATACGAGTTTACCTGTGATTACTGACCTATAAAGACTTATTTGAAAGTAAAGTGCACCTCTTAATTTCATTAATACTAAGATGTTTGAAAGTGAAATATCCAGCAGGTAATACACTTTTCATGGAAGGATAAAAGTAATGGAGAAAATCATACTACATCTGAAAAAATAGTACAAAATGTTTCAACTGGATTGAACAGAAATTATCAGTAGTAACTTGTATTTGCAAACAGTAGCTTAGATATGACAAGTGCAAACTTGTTTTATTTGATTATGATGGAATATTTTCAATCATGCAGACTGAAATATTTAATGAGCATAGTTTTCTAAATACAAGGAATGGTACAATATCCATAAAAACGCAGGCTGCAATTGTACTTAGAAGTACAAAAAGAAACACTCTTGGGGTGAAACTTTGAAAAACTGCACCTAGCTAGTACTAAAATTGGATCATGAATTTGGAAGAAAGTTAATAGAAATAACAAAAAGTGCTAATGGATTCTAATGGTCAGAAGTATAGACTGTTGTTTACTGACATATATATACACACACACACATACTTATTTTAACACTTTTTTCTATCACCCTAGTACCTAAATATTTAATAACAAAAAGAAAGTCCTATTTTATATATTGAAGTATAGCATTAACTGTAACTTGATAAAAAAAAGTATATACTAACAAACCGGACTTGCCAGCTATTGCTAATGCTATAAGGGATCAAAATATCATCACTTTGGTTATAAATACAAATACTCTTTGTGAGTTCCAACCCTTTGAGAATAAACTCAAAATCTGTCCTAATGGTGAAGAAAGAAAACAAAAACATTAACCAATTACCATGAGTCATAAAAATGAGTAACTTCACATCCAATAGTGTAACACTGAACAAAAATAGATGAGTTGATCATCAGTAATCAACTACGCAGAAAAACTATTTTCTAGCCTACATATGGTCTTACTTCACATATAACACAACTGAAAAATG